TGTCAGTCAGAAAAGGTTGCTGCTGATGAAGTGCGGAATTGTCCCGTTTAAGTTCTCATCAGAAATCATTCTGTTGATGGGAGGACATTGAAATGGGGGGGGGAGGCTTTTTTTAGGTAGGCATGTCAGAAAAGGTGTCTGCTGATGGAGACCGGGATTGTCCCGTTTAAGTTCTCGTCAGAGATCATTCTGTTGATGGGAGGACATTGAAATGGGAGAGAGGCCTTTTTTTAGTCGACTAAAAAATTGACTCAAATATTTTGAGTCGACAAAAAAATTGAGTTCGAGATTGAGGGCCCATGAGGATGAGCGTCCACTCCCATGGCTTTTCACATCTCACTCACACATGCCCGCTCACAGCCTCTGAAGCATCAGGGTCCTCTCGCATCTGAAGCATGGGGGTCCCCTCACGTCTGAAGCATCGCGATCCGCTCACATCTGAACCATGAAGGTCCCCTCACATCTGAAGCATGGGGGTCCCCTCACATCAGAAGCATGGGGGTCCCCTCACATCTGAAGCATGGGGGTCCCCTCACATCAGAAGCATGGGGGTCCCCTCACATCAGAAGCATGGGGGTCCCCTCACATCTGAAGCATGGGGGTCCCCTCACATCAGAAGCATGGGGGTCCCCTCACATCTGAAGCATGGGGGTCCCCTCACATCTGAAGCATGGGGGTCCCCTCACATCAGAAGCATGGGGGTCCCCTCACATCAGAAGCATGGGGGTCCCCTCACATCAGAAGCATGGGGGTCCCCTCACATCAGAAGCATGGGGGTCCCCTCACATCTGAAGCATGGGGGTCCCCTCACATCTGAAGCATGGGGGTCCCCTCACATCTGAAGCATGGGGGTCCCCTCACATCAGAAGCATGGGGGTCCCCTCACATCAGAAGCATGGGGGTCCCCTCACATCAGAAGCATGGGGGTCCCCTCACATCTGAAGCATGGGGGTCCCCTCACATCAGAAGCATGGGGGTCCCCTCACATCAGAAGCATGGGGGTCCCCTCACATCTGAAGCATGGGGTTCCCCTCACATCAGAACCATGGGGGTCCCCTCACATCAGAAGCATGGGGGTCCCCTCACATCTGAAGCATGGGGGTCCCCTCACATCAGAAGCATGGGGGTCCCCTCACATCTGAAGCATGGGGTCCCCTCACATCAGAAGCATGGGGGTCCCCTCACATCTGAAGCATGGGGGTCCCCTCACATCAGAACCATGGGGGTCCCCTCACATCAGAAGCATGGGGGTCCCCTCACATCTGAAGCATGGGGGTCCCCTCACATCAGAAGCATGGGGGTCCCCTCACATCAGAAGCATGGGGGTCCCCTCACATCTGAAGCATGGGGTCCCCTCACATCAGAAGCATGGGGGTCCCCTCACATCAGAAGCATAGGGGTCCCCTCACATCAGAAGCATGGGGGTCCCCTCACGTCTGAAGCATGGGGGTCTGAAGCATCGCGATCTGCTCGCATCTGCAGCATCAGGGTTCATGAGGGTCCTACCATGAGGGTCCCTGAGAGCCCATGAGGGTCTACTCACTCATATCTCCGTGATCATGCCCTGAGAGCCCATGAGAGCCCATGAGGGTCTACTCACTCATATCTCCGTGATCATGCCCTGAGAGCCCATGAGATCCCATGAGAGCCCATGAGAGCCCATGAGAGCCCATGAGGGTCTACTCACTCACATCTCCGTGATCATGCCCTGAGAGCCCATGAGAGCCCATGAGAGCCCATGAGAGCCCATGAGGGTCTACTCAATTACATCTCCGTGATCATGCCTTGGGAGTCGCACGTGACGTTGCTGGCTTTGTCCCAGTCCCCACCAACCACCCAGCCAGTTATAGATCCATGGGGAAGCATGGGGACCCACTCACATCTCCGTGATCATGCCCTGGGAGTCGCACGTGACACTGCTCGCATTGTCGCAGTCCCCACCAACCACCCAGCCGTCAAACGTTGTGCTCCACGCCTTCTGACAGTCCAGCAGGACTTGCGCTGGCGGCAGGAGGAGGGAAAAGGGGGAGTGGAAGAGAGGAGGGCAGGGCAGCCATTGGAAGAGAGGAGGGCAAAAAGAGGAACGGAGAGGACTCAAATGGTGGTCCAAACACTCCTCTTATTGCGTGCCCCCCACATCTCATCAGTCTCCCTTCTCTCTCATCACACGCCCTCCTCTAATCATATGCCTTCCACCTCTATCATCGCATTCCCTCCGTCCCACCTCATCACATTCCCCCGCCTCGTTACTTGCTCTTCCACTTCCACCCAGTTTACGGGAAGGGCGATAGAAAAACGAGGACGGCACAGGGTCTGTGAACAGAGAATGTAACGCCTGAGGGCTAGTGTTGAAGGGCGGCGTCCGCTGCGCCTCATTTTGACCCAGTGGGTAGCGATGCGTACCAGAGCCTGGGTTCGACTCTCGGCTGGTCCACATTTTCCGCATGTAGCGAGAACCGGAATGTGGTTACCAGACTCGAACCCGCAAACGGTCCTCCGCTGGCTTGACCCACCAGCGAAGTCGCTATCACCATCCCCAGCGATATCTAGATTCTTGCGGGGCCGCCAACTCCCTGAATTTCTGAGCCAACGAGGACGTTGGCACCACGTTCTCACCAAGGGGGGACGAGTGTACCTCCTCTTCTATTGTGGACGTCCCGTATATTATGTTATATGCGCCGATTATGGTTTCTTTTTTTACCGATTAATGGTGAAATACACGGTGATGTAACATGTTGGGATGTCACCCTCACGGACGCAATGTAGGATGTCACCCCACACGCAGCCCGAGGATCCTCTACTACTTTCGGATTGAGTACAGTGACGTAGCACTTGCGGTAGCCGCATTTGCGGCTCGTTCATGACCAGTGACGGCGTGACGGCAATGAGGAGGTACGTCACCCGGGGTGCTGCCGCGGATCGCGCAGTGAATGGCAAAGCAAGATGTGCTTGCCGGCGCCACGGGAAGCTGTTTCTACTTTTAAGGTTTTTCCAGCACGCGCCCGACTGTCGGATCATGATGATACGTGTTAATGGCATCGCGGGGCGGCACGCACCCTGTGACTTGACGAGAGGCACGCATTCGACGCGTGAGACCGCGTGACACGTCAGCAGCAGCGTGCCGAGCAGAAGAGCTGCTGCGGGCTTCATCGCGCCGATGATCGCGGCAAGCCTATAAAATACCAAGTTCGTAATTTCGACTCGCGTCTAAAACATCATATCATGCATCATTATCTGGGAAGGATTTCACTGGAAATTATTAGCTGAGAGGAAAAGGGAAAACCGTCTGGAGGGGTTCTGGTACTGGCTGCTTATGGGGAGGAAAGGGTGGGAGTGAAAGTGTGATTTTTGGAGTTGCTACATTTTTTTCATTTTCATGCTTATGGCGGGTACAAAGTGCTGCAAAAACTCGACGTCGAGGGACGTCGGTGAATCCTGACGGTTGGAAGTTTTTATCCGACGGTCGAAATTCACCGACGTTCCTCGACGTCGAGCTGGTGGAGGAAAGGGTGGGTGTCGGACAGGCGTTGCTTCATTTTTTTCATAATCGCCAACGGCGATGGTGGATTCTGGAAGTGCAGTACATGTACTGTACAAGAGTGTATGACAGGAGTGATGACTGCTGGATTCGAATTACTGGTGGTAGTGATCGTGGGTGAGGGCGCGTTACTTTTTTAAATCAAGTCCGTCCGGACGGACGTTTCATTGGTTACCAAAGTTGTTGCAGCTCGTTAGACTGCTTTTGAAACCCATGCGACATCGTTAACGATCGGACCCTCTACTCTCCCAAATCGTCCGGGCGAGTACTGTTTGATAAATAGACGGACGTAACAGTGACGCAATTTCACTGACGGACAATTACAAATATGCGACAGCGTCGTGATTATGGTTACTGTCTCGTTAGTACTTAAATTCTCGTAAGTATGAAAATGTATCATAATCGACGTCCGGACGAGGCTCAGCTCGGACGTTATGCTCGGACCGTCCGATATTTGGCACCCGAACCGTTTAAGACTGCTGTCCGGACTCCATATTTTAAAATATGAAGTAACACGCCCTAAACTTATAATGCATTTGCAGTGAGAGGATTGGTGTGTTGGGGGGATTTGGGGCGATCCACACCATGCCATCCGTGATGGGACGGATGAAAAATGGATGGATGAACGTGAGAATCGCGACGGCCCACAGCTTGCACGGACTGACCGTACCTGCGAGGGAAAGCAGCGCCGCCGAGAGAAATGGTCTGTGGGGAGTTGGGGGGGCAGACCGACAGCTACCTGTGGGGAGGGGCTGCGTTTCACATGTGCAACTGTTGATGCCGGTCGAAGCAGGCCAGAGCCCACGAGAGAAGGGACATCCAGAATTTTCTCAATATTATGGTCTACAAAAGTGTCAGGAATGCGGTTTACAAACTAGACGTTCTACAGCTTGTTCTAATACTACATCTTTCATACTATCAGCCGTCTGGTGGACTAGGAGACAGCAATTTAGGTACTCACGGGAATTCCAGTAGAAGGGTAGACGTTCCTTTGATACGGAATCTCTACGTCAGGTCGCGAGGTGGCCTTGGGGCATCCGGAGCACTGGAAACGAAAATTAGACATGTATGGATGATGTGCTGGCCAAACATCCCATGCCACACGGATGGAACAGCTCGAACCTCTATCGTTTGGAAACCGTCATGCCACTTGGAACTTTCTCCTTGTTTTATCTGAGATGTCCTAACAGATGCTTCCACTGCAGCCGACCGCGAAGTCACAGACAAGACCAGTTGGCACCCATGACAACAGATTTTAATCTACATTGAGCTATTTACCAAGTACTATACACTGAAAAACTACTGATGTGTCTAGTATATCAACAAAAACAAAATAAAGGACTACTGGAAAGGCATATTCTCCCGTATATCAGAAATAGAGACCATTACGGTCCACCATCATATAGCCTAGAGATTTTAAGACTTCGACTTAAGAACACAATCACAATCAGTCAAACTAAAATCACCCAAACTGCATTTCCCGGAATGCCACGTCACTGTCATCCACGCCCTGCCCCAGCTTGGCGCGTTTCTTCTGCCGCACGCCGCCCGCCCCGCCGTCCAGAAACTGGGCGGCAGTTTTGGCGCGTAGCTCGTTGAGCCCCTCGCCCTCCTTGGCCCTTTCAAGCACGAGGTGGCGGCCGTACAGGTGAGTGCTCTTGAGCGCATCAAAGGCACTCTCTGCTTCCCTCTTTGTGGCAAACTCCACAAACGCAAAACCCCTGTGCCCCCCGTCAAACTTGCGGGGTAGCCTCATGCTTTTCAGCTGCAGAAAAGGGAGGGGGGAGGGGAGTGGAGAAGCAACAGGGACAAGAGAAGGCTCTGAGAGGGAATAATGCGGTCCGTTCAGTGAGCCCCTTGCCCTCATTGGCCCTTTAAAGTGTTAGGTGGCGGCCGTACAGGTGAGTGCTCTTGAGCGCATCAAAGGCACTCTCTGCTTCCCTCTTTGTGGCAAACTCCACAAACCCAAACCCCCTGTGGCCCCCATCAAACTTGCGCGGCAACCACATGCTCTTGAACTGAGGGTTGGGTGGGGTAGGAAGGGAGGGGGTGGGAGGAAGGACAGTAGTCAGGCAGCAATCCGAAAGGCGCCTCCCTTTAAAAGGCAAACCCCTTTGTGGACCCCAAGAAACTTGCGGGGAAGCCGCAAGTTTGATGCGAGAACAATCATGTGAAAAGGTTACCTGTGAAAAGGTTACATGTAAGAGTAATCATGTGCGAAGGTTACATGTGAAAATGTCGCACATTTGAGTATCAACTGCCAAGATACCTCACCAGTTGCTGTGATCTATATTACCTGCACAGTAATCATTTCACCAGCCCACAAAGCTCACCTGCCCAAACGGTGCAAACAGCTGCTGAATGTCCCTCTTAGTGGCCTCAAATGGCTGAAGGAGAGAGGGAGATTGAGAGCAGGGATAGATGGGCGGGGGGAGGGTGAGATGGAAACGAGAGAGATGGAGAAGAAAGGTGCTGCTGAGTGTTCCTCTTGGTGGAATTGAATGGCTGGAAAGTGGCAACGGAGAAGGACGAATGGAAGAAACAAAAGCAGGCAATTCGGTAATGAGGAAGGGATGGAAAACGGCCACTTTTCTTGCATCTTTGACCCCATTGCACAGCATTCAGAACTCCCCAACTCACCACATTCTGCACCATAACTCTCCTTTACTTTGAACCCAGTTTTTTATTTTTCTCTCCATTCCCTCTCTTCACCTTCCCAATAAAATCATTGTAGTATCTCCTTTGCACCCTCTCCTCCTCTGGCCCTTTGATAGCTCAGTGTATTCCGCCCGTTCCTTAGTGTCACATCAACTCACCACATTCCGCACTATCACTTTCGTCGAGCTCTCCTTCCCCTTTCCCCCTGCCCCTGCTCCCTCGCCCTTCCCCTCGCCCCCCTTCGCCTCCCCTTTGCTCAGCTGCAGCAGCAACGCATGCCCGTCCAACACGGTTCCCTGTGGAAAGAGTTGAAGGAAGTTGGGATAGGAAGAAGGAATAGAGTAGAGTAGAGGATTTCAGAAAATGTAGGGGTAGACAGTGGGTTGCCTGCAGATGTTGCCAGCGCCCTTTGCTCAGCTGCAGCAGCAATCATGCCTGTCCAACACGGTTCCCTGGAAAGAGTTGAAGGAAGTTGGGGTAGGAGGGAGGAAAAGAGAAGAAGCCAGTTGTTCAGAATGGTGTAGGGGTACGCAGCAAGTTGCCTGTGGCTGTTCTTGCCTTCCCTCCCCCCTCCTCCTCCCCAATATGTACCAGATGTGCACGCATACATGCATGCGTGTATTACAGCACATGGACCGCACCACGCAAACCCAAACAAGCATACATGAATTACATTTAGGATGTGCATCCATGCATGCAGAAGGATATGAAGAAAACCACACACACCACACAGCTCACATGCAGCAGCTTGCATGCGCGGTGTGCAGCATGCAGGGCAGTAAGACCATGCATGCATGACGTCATGTGGGGCACAACGCATGGTCCACCCACCAGGTACGAGGAGGGCTGAACATGGCAACTCACCTGCAGCAGCTTGCATGCACGGTGTGCAGCAAGCACAGAGCCAAACTCCGCGAACCCAAAACCCATCGACAGCTGCTTGCCGTTCCGCACCCGCTTCTTGATCTGCCAGGGGTTCACACACAAGTCAGTGAGAGTGAAGCAGCATTAGGCGACTGTCAAGAATCCTTCTTAAGCTGCTGGTGGGGGTTCACACACGAGCGGGGTGAGAGAGAGAAAAACAGCGCGGACGACTGTGGAGTCGAGGACAGTTCTTAAGCTGCTGCTGGGGGCTCGCACGCACGCTAGGGGGGTGCGGGAGAAACAAAAGTCCTTCTCAAAAGCTCGCTGTTCCGCACTTGCTTCTTCTCTATCTGCTGCGGTTTGAACTTTGACACCCAAGGGGGTTGAAGAAGAAGCAGACGTAGTGCGGAAGTGAGCTACGCGCATGCCAGTGAATCACGCAGGTCAAAGAAGCACAAACAAAGAATCATCAGCCGCTCTCCTCTTTAATTCATGAACACAAAACCCCTCTCTCCCCTCTCTCTCCGCCCCTCTCCCCCCCCCCCCCCCCACCCCTGCCTCACCACAAATCAGTCCGTGACATGTGACATAAGTCATGCACGTGAGCAGGGCAGATATATACCCCCTATATGCACTGTCTCGTTAACAGCACATGCGTGTGCCCCTCTGACTGCTCCTTGGACAATGGATACGCCAGGCCTGTGGAGGGCATATTCGTGATTGCGGACATGCAGGTAAGTGAGCAGATATACCCCTCACATCTCACCGTGACACTGCGTAGTGCTGGGCCCTCCCCGTCCGCCCCTGCGTGCTTGCTTCTGAGAAGCTTCTCCAGGTTCTCCTTCAGCTGCGTCTCTGTTGTGGCAAAGCTCAGATTCTTCACAAACACACTGTGGCTCGTGGGCTGGCATGCAGGGAGAGCAATGGGCGGGGAGAGGGGGAAAGGGGGAAGAGGAAAGTGCTCAACATGAGAAGGTCCGAGCTCGATCCAGGTGCTCCTTGAGCTGCGTCTTGGTGCTTCACAAAAAAAAAAAAAAAAAAAAAAACTACTACTACTTTCTTGTGGGCGGGGTTGCAGGGAAAGGTGACAGTGGGAAGAAGGAAAGGGAGCTGCAACGAAGGTGGATTTGGTCGATGGACGGGTGGTAGATAGGTGGACAGTGGACTTGGGCCAGAGAATCTGTAACTAGACATTCAGGGCGTTTCCCAGTTCGGGTCAAGAGTACTGTTTGGGTCATCCGAAATTCTTGGACGACCAATAGGGCGCATTTCAGCTACACTACTAGAATACCATTGGTCGTCCAAGAATCTCGGATGACCCAAACAGTACTCTTGACCTGACCCGAACTAGGACACGCCCTCAATATCAATGTCACTCGACGAGTGAAATGACGACGGGTAGAGAGACACAAGAGGCCCCATGCTGCCATTCAAGGGCCAAGGTTGTGAGACGGAACAGGAGGCAGGCAGCATGCAAAGATCAACTCCCCTCCCCACTATGGCAGCAGTTGGGCCTTCTTCAGCTCAGTTCAGCACCCCACCGCCAACCACACGCCCCCACACCCTGCCTGCACCCAAATGACACTCATCCCCATTTGTTTGTTCCCTCAGATATCCCCCATCCGAGGCTCACACCCCATCCGTTCCCCCTTCTGAGCTCACCTGCCCGTCCTCCTCCCCTTCCACCGCATGCCCCTCGGCCCCCTCTCCTCCACCTTCTCTTCCCCCAACTCCCCCCACCATCTCCGCCTCAGCAGCCATGCGCCTGGCCGCCTTCCCATCCATCACCACCGGCAGCAACCCCACTGCACCCTGCTTCTTCGCTTTCTTCTCTCCGCCTCCCTCCTTGCCTACCCCTGCGCCTCCCTCTCCTTCCCTAGAAGCTGCTGCTGCTGCTGCTGCTGCTGCTGCTGCTGCTGCTGCTGCTGCTGCTGCTGCTGCTCCTGCTGCTGTTGTGGTTGGCGCGTCTGACGGTGCTGCGGGTTCTAGGAAGATACCTTCTGGTGCCCATTCCAGGTACAGAGGAACATGCCTGGTCGGTTCACAATGAGAACACGAGGGTCAAGGCGGTTCAAGGGTGTTCATAGCGGTACAGAGGAGAAGGAATGGAAGGGACACACGCCTGGCTGAGAATGAAAACGTGGAGGATCAAGTGTTCTAAAAGAGGTAAAAAGGACACGTTCTGAAGTACAGAGACGAGTCAAGACATGCTGATTCCCATCCCAAAGGTCGTGCTGGCATGGCATTGACCACAGCGCATGGATTGGCATTTACGCTAATGCGTACGCTGGGCAGGTTGAAAAAATTACAAAGTTCAAGGGGTTGATTAGGAGCACTCGTTTGATTTACTTTTAGGGCATGCAAGTCTCATTTTACAAACCACTCACTGGTATCTCTTGTAGGCCAAGCTTTTGAAGGCCCTCTTGGCATCAGCAGAGTCTGCCATTTCCACCTGACCATGGGAGTGAGGGAGAGAGGAGGGGGGTTATACGGGGGATGGGTGAAAGGGGAGAGGGGCGAAGGGATGGGGGCGTGGAAGGGAAGGGACAGGGTTAGAAGAAGCAAGAGGGTTTCAAACAAGAGGGTAGAAGAAACAAGGATTTTAAGGCTCTCATGGCATTTGCGAAATCGGCCATCTATTCTATCAGACCATGAAAATGAGGGAGGGAGAGAGGGGAGGGGGGGTTCGGGGAAGTGGGGGATGGTGGTAAGGGTCTGAGTGGAAACGAGCATGGCTGCTGGGGATACACGAGTTGACTTTTGAGTCGACTCAAAAGTCAACAGAGAGGAAACGAGCATGGATACTGGGGATACCAGACTGGACACGCCTGAAAAAGTCATACAAGTTGGGAACAAGAAACCAGCTAGCTGCTTAACCTCCTCAGCCGTGCTGCGCTGCGCCTATGCCTTTCCACACAGCATGTAACCGAAACAAACCCACCCAGTCACCAACCCCGCCCCCCCCCCCCCCAAATCCCCCCCCCCCCCTCCCTCCCACCTCGCCTCACAACCGTCTCTCACTGCCCTCACCCCCTGCCCTCCCACTTACCAGAGCAACAGTATTGGTGGGCGGCAGCACAAACCTCGCCACCGGTCCGAACCGCTGGAACAGCCCCACCAGCTCGCCCGCCTCCAACTTGAAGGGCAGATTCTTCACCAGAATCACACTCCTGCTGCGCACCAAGCTGCCCCCACCACCAGTAGCACTGCCATCCTCTTTGGTATCCTTTTTCCCAGCTGCTTTGGCAGCGGCAGCAGCGGTGGCGGCGGTGGCGAATTGCTCCATGAGAGCCACATCGATGCCCGCGTCAAGCAGAGCCCGCTTGGTGTCCGCCACTATGTGGGCTTCTCCCAGTGCCAGCCGCACTGCTGTGTCGCTGGCTGATGGGTCGAGGAGGTCTCGTTTGGCCACTCCGTATCTCTGTGCCACTGCTTCTGCTACCTGGGGAAAGAGATCGGAACGGGTGGGAGCAAGGAGCAAGGAGTGTCAAGAAGAGCCCGTTTGGAGTCCGCCACTATGTGCGCCTCTCCCAGTGCCAGCCGCACTGCTGTGTCGCTGGCCGATGGGTCGAGTGGATCCCTCTTTCCTACCCCGTATCTTTGAGCCACTGCCTCTGCCACCTACAGGGCATGGGGATGGGAACAGGACTGGAACGTGAGAATGGCAGAATGGCTTTTGAGACGTCTCAAAAGGCCTCTGCCACCTACAGGGCATGGGGATGGGAACAGGACTGGAACGGGATGAAAGAATGGCGTGAGAATGGCAGAATGGGAGGGAGATGAGATTGCGGATGGGAGTGCGATTGGAGTGTCAGGTGGCATACAGAGGAGGGAGCCCCAAGCATGATTCTTTAGGCGCGTTAAGGAACCGTCTATCCTACCATATGAGATCGCATATGAGCTTCTTGACGCTTTGGGAATCAGGGGAGGGGCATCAGCAGAGTCCCTACCCCTCTTGGCATCAGCAGAGTCCCTACCCCTCCGACCAGGGGAGGGGCGGCTAACAAGACCGAAACATGCTACGAACCCATCTCGCCTACCGTATCGGGTCGCATATAAAAGGAGCTCCAAGCGCGGGTGTCCCCTCCTGCTTCGCGCTTCTTCCTCTCCTCCTCCCTCCTCTCCTTCAGCGTCTTTGCCTGCAGATTCGCATCCCTGCACGGGTGTTACGGAGGACGCATACAAGTCCACACAAGTCAGCACAGATCAGCATAAGTCAACTCTCCTCTCTCCGCCAGCGTCTTTGCCTGCTGGTTCGCTTCCCTTCCCTAAATGGGTGTTAAGGAGGGAACACACCATGATTGGTCAACAAGGAAACACGGATCAGCACAGGTCAACAAGTTTTGCAGTGTACATTCAGGCACTTGCAGCGCACACAACCCCTCCCAATCTCTTCACTCCCTCCAACAGGCCCCCCTTCCCCCTGTGCGTGAGCCTGCAAGGCTTACTTGTCCTTCTTCTTAGGCAGTGGCCTGTGTGCCACCAGCAGCAGCAGCAGCAGCGGCGGCGGCGGCGGCGGCAGCAGCAGCACATGGAGCAGACCGCGTGCTGTGCAGCACAGGTGGCAGGCAGGCATCAAGACATGCGATCGCACGCACTCTCCCCTCCCAGCTCACTGCATGATCTTCTCTTATCTTCTTTTTTCTTATCTTCTCCGTCCCATGAGACAGCCAAACATAGTCATGTCACTGCTTACTCGTCCTTCTTGGGTGGAGGCCTGTGAGCCGGCAGCACGTGCAGCAGACGGCCCTGGAAGATGGAGGAATCGAGGGCCTTCATAGCACTGCAGAGAACAGCAGGGCACAGTCATGCGCAAGGGTAGCGGGGGAAGGGGGTGGGAGGCGGGTACAGAGATGGGCGCGCATGTGAACTGGCAGCACGTGCAGCAGACGGCCCTGGAAGATGGAGGAATCGAGGGCCTTCATAGCACTGCAGAGAACAGCAGGGCACAGTCATGCGCAAGGGTAGCGGGGGAAGGGGGTGGGAGGCGGGTACAGAGATGGGCGCGCATGTGAACTGGCAGCACGTGCAGCAGACGGCCCTGGAAGATGGAGGAATCGAGGGCCTTCATAGCACTGCAGAGAACAGCAGGGCACAGTCATGCGCAAGGGTAGCGGGGGAAGGGGGTGGGAGGCGAGTACAGAGATGGGCGCGCATGTGAACTGGCAGCACGTGCAGCAGACGGCCCTGGAAGATGGAGGAGTCGAGGGCGTTCATAGCACTGCAGTGCAGCGCACAACATGACATGGGAAAAGGGGGGGAAGGGGCATGGTTGAAGGTAATGGGGGCAAGCGATCCATAGGGGGCAAGCGATCCATAGGGGGCAAGCGATCGGGCGGGACATGAAGAGAGAGATAGGCGCGCCTGTTCACTGGCAGCCCGTGCAGCAGGCGGCCCTGGAAGATGAAGACTCAAGGGCCTTCATCGCACCACAGTGCAC